CCTTACGACAAATTAGCGGTAGCCACGTCTTTATCGGAGACTCAAACCACTACGGCGCCGTAAGTCTCATTTTAACTGGAAACAATGGCGATTTCATCGGGAACACTGTTCATTGCCCGATTATTGAGCGGTTTTATTCCCTATGGCCGTGTGCAGCTTACTTTCGTGGGAACACCCTGGCGATTGGCCAAGCATTAGGTGAGTCCGACTTACGATGAACTTCCTCTGTTGGGTAAAAGAAGAGAGAAAAACTGCCGCCAAGGGATCGGAAAAGAAGACTGCGCCCCTAAACTTCCCCTGTTGGGTCCTGAAGAAGAGAATCAGATGAGAAGTTGCTGCCAAGGGATCGGGAAAGAAGACTGCCCCTAAAACTCACTAAATACCTGTAAACGCCAATTGGAGGAAGTTGTGGGCTGTTGGTGAGAGCATAATCGGCCGTGCCTATGGATCTTGCTACAACCACCCACTCAATCATGTACATCTTGAGAAGCTATAACAATTGATTCAATTGAAGAAGCAATGGTCGGGAATGGCGTAAAGGAGCATTTAGCGGAGAAGGAAGAGGGTTGAAAAGATGAGTTTGTTGATGAGACATAGATACTAATTATTCTAATTTTCTGGATTCAATCAATTATTTCATAATTCTTGCATGAGCGACACATGTTTGCTCCAAATGGTAATTAAATGCCACTTGCCTCTCTCCTTCTGTGTTATTAGTTATTACTTGATGAATTCACTTCCACCAAGACCCATAATACAATAAAATGCTCTTTTTAGTTTATTTTATACTACAATCACGTTCTTATAAATTTCGTTTACTTTACTCATTTTCTTGAATTTGAGTTTGTATGTTTTCTTTGATTGTGAGTTTGTATGTTTTCTAATTTAGGTATTAGTGACAATAAAGTTTAGGGCATAATTTGTAGCCAAAACTTTCACGCTTGTGACAATAACAGTCATTTTTTGCGAAATACCAAATATAGTCAGAATTTTGAAAATTTCATGACAAATATAGCCATTTCCGTTACATTTTTTAACGGCGTTAGTGACATCGTTAGTCAACTTAACGAAATGCTTGCATGGCTGCCATCTCACCAGACACATCATCGACAACTCAACAACACTTGCCGCATGGATGCCATGTCATATTTTAATTTAAAATTAAATAAAAAATCATAAATTATTGTTCTCATCCTCTCCCCTCTTCCACCACTCGATGCTGTCGTCCTTTCTCCTCTCACAACATCGTCGTCGTCTTCTGCAACTGGCCGCCGACAATGAGCAACCAAAGATCGATTTAGCGGGCGAAATCAGGGGAGCGATCACGAATGGCACCACCGCTGCCGAGCAAACAGTGGTGAGCGATTGTAAGCCTTCTATTGTTCTGGGCAGCATCGTGTCCTGCTCGGAGTCGATATCGGATACACCACCACATATGCACTTCTGAATAATGAAATCTTTTCCGGGACAAGGAGAGGTTAACCGGGGACAGAGCCGGAATTCCTTTCCCCTTTCCAGCCTGTTTGGATTGACAAAAAAGTAAGGAATTGGAATTCCATTTCCAATTCCATTTCTATATATTATGTTTGGAATAATAAAAAGGTTGAGAATTGAATTCCAATGGGTCTAAAATATGGGAATTACAATTCCTATCAAAAGTTATAGGAATTGAGAGAATGAAGATGGAATTAGTGGGACCCATCAATACTTTTTATTATTTTGTTGACCCACTATCATTTTACTCTCTTTCTCTCTCATTCATATTTCATTTCCCAAAATAAAACATATTACATTATTCATTATGGTTAAAAGTGCAATTCATTTCCATAGTTGTAGGAATTATACCAAACACTAGAATTGGAAATGGAATTCTATAAAAATAAAAAATTGAATTCCATTTCCATTTCTTCCGGAATTGCATCCAAACAGGCTGTTCATTTGCTTTGTTAATTTTAGAGAAACATAAACCCAGAATTCGATGGAGAAGATAGGATTTTTTTACTTTTCCTTGACCCCCTTTCATTATTTATTTCTTTTTGTTTTTAATTAAATCCATGTGAAAATTTAATTAACTAATTGTTGCCACCTCAACCGTTAGCGTTTGTCCAGTCAGCATATAGCATAACATCGTCAAAAAATTGGACGGAAGTGGCTATTTTTGATATTTCGCCCAAAGTGACTATGCCAAACCGTCAAAGTTTTGGCTATACAGGTGTATTTTGCCTAAAGTTTATGCAATTTGAACCACACATTAGGAAACATTTAGATAAGATTGTTTTATAACATTTACTACGTAAATAAAAAATGCATTACATAAATTTTAAGAGAGATAGTTATTTCTTATTTATCAATTAAACAAAATGGATTATATAAATCTTTCGTAATGATTAAAACACTAAAAAAAACTTATAGATTACTTTTTGCAGAACAATTTAATAAATTTCTTTACCTTTCATAACTTAATTCTTATCATTAACTAAATTCCTTTATTATTATCTATATTCTTCACCCTCCCATCAATTTGCTTCACACAAAATTTTCGTAAAGTAAGTTAAATTTTACCCAATTTTTAGATAAAATTAGCTTAAGTTTATTATTAAATCAAACATTACGGAAGATTTATGTAACCCAATTTCATAACAGCTAGATAAACTGAAAATGCATTACGTGAACGTTATGTAGGGATAATCATTTCTTATGTAGCTATTAATAAAATATCTTTGTAAATTTTTAGTAATGATTAGCATCTTATGTAAAACTTTTGGAGGTATCGTATCGTAATTATTATTTGAAAACTTTTGGAGGTATCGTATCGTAGTTATTATTTGAATTATTTAATTTTAAATAATTGTTACAAGAGTAAATGTAATTTAAAATATAATTAGTTTCTTACCGCCGCAAAGCGCAGGTCATAAAACTAGTCTGTAATTAAGGACGTAAGTAGCATCCATTTTCTCTGTTTAAAAGAGAGGGAACTGTACATGTCGTTTTAGCTAGAGCTGTATATTATTTATGGGTACGATCGAGAAATGTGGGTCTTAAATCTTAATTAAGTCACGCAGTAGTAATCACTATTATCTTGTAGTCCTCTTGTCCCAGGAAATTTCCAACAAACTGCACTATACTGCCATTAACAATGTTTGGGAAACTAATTAACTACTAACTAAAAATCTTCGTTTGTTTGGTTGACAGGTAATTTCACCTACACGTACGTTTGAACTAGCTATCCCAGGATGCGGCCAATACCAAATCCAGCGTACGAGGACGGCGAGGTACGCGCTATTATGATCGTCGGACTGCTTGGCGGGGTTTTCACCTTCCTCGGCATCCTCAAAGATCCGGGGTAATTATAATTAATGAGTCTTATATTTTTGTCCCCGGAATAAATAGATCGTGTATCCATATGAGAACATACTTGACTACTTGAGTGTTAATGAATTGAACGATCCTTTATTTATTTTATGATATTACTTAATAAATAGTTATGATAAAATAGTTACTAATTATTATCAAACGACAATTAGATAAGTTACGGCTGGGACAAAACCCGCTAGGTTAACCATAAAAAAAAAAAGTCGCTAGGTCATCAACACTCAACAGTAGTATTTTCGCAGTTTACGTACATTAATTTTGTATTAAATTTTTTTTATATATTTTTAATATTGTTATATATATATATATATATATAAAATTAAATTCCTTTGCAAAGTTACCACTGTTAACCTAATCACTTTTGCCGGCAGCTAGCTGAAAAGGTGTCGACGTTATTAAATGTGTGAGCCATATATAGGTAGATTCTTTGTCATGAGTAGAAGTGTTTGTTTTTGTACATTTTTCAACATCATTTGGTTCCTCAAACTAGAGGAAGAAAGAGCAAGATACATTAATGTCCGAACAAGGGCCATAGTGCTGAGTGACACAGCAACAAAAAAGCCACGAAAATCAAACGTGCGTATACTGATAATAACAAAGATAAGGGTGAACAGCGCGTACCAAATGAGTCATCCTATTCAAATTCTGGCCCATAAATATGAGGTCATGATCCGGAGAAAGTACGTTGAAACCGGAAATTAATTTCCACGCCCAGACCACTACCTTTTTGGCTTTTTTTTTCTACTTCCTCGTAAGCTTAAAGGCAAGTTGATGCCTCTTCGTCCGTGGGGTTTTGTTTGTTTTTATCCTTTTCTGTGTAGGAACGCAACAACCAGTGATTAGTTAGTTGATTCTAAGTTTAACTTAAGCAGTAAATGACGATTTCAAGGACTTGCTACATCCTTAAATATAATTAAAAAAAAACGTTTCATTTTCAGGCGGCCAATTTTGAGGATGCGGAGGGATCCTTCTTTAGCCAACACCTACACCGAGTACAAATATGTGGGGTTTCTGTCCCACATACTCCTCCTCGTCAACTATCTCCTCGTAGTTTGGTATGACACATGTGTCCACATATATGCAAATGTTCAAGTTTTAATTTGATCTCTAACTTTCAATCCCCGTAAATAATATACTCTAGGTTCAACACCCCGTTCGTCTACACGACGAACGTGATACTTGCCTTGGTCTCTACTGCTGGCGCGTTTGCAGAGATCGCGTTTGTCTACACCATCTACCGCTGCCTGCAAGATGTGGCGAAACGAAAAATAATCGGACTCGTCTCTCTTAGTGCAGTCTTAACGTTCCTCTTTCTTGTTTCCCTCTCCGCCGCGTTCGAGAATCCCCTTCGCAAGACATTCGTAGGTTATGCGATGATGGCCTCCTCAGGCTCACTAGTTGTGGCTATGATGTTCGATCTGGTAAGTGTGCGAGTTGATAATTTAAACATTGACATAGCCGCATAGCCGGTATATATATTATACTACACACATGCAACTAATTAAAACTTTGTTCCTTGTTAAAGCGGGTGATGTGGCATTCTGACGAGATCCCGAACTTGTCCGCGGGTGCTTACTTCTACGGCTTAATGGCAGCAATTTTCAATATGTCGAATGCCATTATGAGTATATGACTACCAAAAGTTTCATCATGGTAAGTATTATATTAGATAAAAAAAATTCTTTGTTCTATGCATTTGATTGTACTAACTAATAACTGATTTTATTTGTTTTTTTTTTTCCAGATCCGTCACGCCATCGCAGCTGCCATGTACGGGACTGTCTTGCTCACGGTGGGAGCATATTATTGCTCCCACCCTGTGCATCCGTACGACAGTTTCATGCACGTAGCAAGAGTCTACTTCAACAATCGCATGCAACGCATACGCCTACGAGTCCCCCGAAGTAAGTAATAAAGAACGCACGAATCAATTACTAATTAATTAATTCGTCTACCTTACCTATACACTATCAAATATATTAATCAAATATTTTGGTGTCGTTTTTTCAGCGCATACTCGCCGGCATGTGATCGACGGCATGCTGTGGATGAGTAGCTTTTTCTACTCGTACTTTCACATTTACCGCGGCAAGGTAATAGCTCAACGTAACTAAGGTAAATATTATTGAATATAGTTTTCCTCACTGACATCTCCGTAATGTATTCTCTTACTAGCAGACGCCGCCCAGGTTACCCTTAGATTGATTGTAGGAGCAGTCGCGGCCGGTTGTTCGTACTCTGACGACGACAGTGGGGTAGATTACAGAAGAGATCAGTGTTAACTTTGTATAGGTTGTACGTTCTTTAATTATCTCGTGTACATCCCTTTCTAAAGAATGATACAAATTAAATAACTATTATTATCATTATCATATATAAATGCAAATCTCTGCTGGTATGACCATAGTCCACAGCCAGCCCAACTGCCCAAATATCCTATGAAAGCTACGTGTTGCCATAAGTCGGGATTCGAATTCTGGAACTTAACTAATCAAAGCACACAACAAGAAACTCTTAGCAAAACAATAGCATGCATGGTTTGGGAGGAAAACAATTATATTCGAGCCTACTGCCTACACTATAAATAGTGCAAGGGTGCAGTACTATATAAAGGGACTCCAAAAATAGGGTTATGAACTATTTGATAATGTTTGGGTTGCCACTAATTACTTGATTCTACGAACACGTAAAGCACAAATAACCTTTTCGAGATTGCACTAAAAAACCAACAAATATTTTAGGTTTAACTAGTGTTCAATTCGTGTACAATTGAATGTCTATGTATAGACTTTGCAAAGTATAAATCTACCTGAAAGTTATTTCCAAAAAAAAAAATCTACCTAAAAGCATAGTGAAAACCTTATGGTACTAAAAAGAAGAAGAACCAAAATAGGAATTAGTGAAGAGGAATTTCCAAAAACAATGTTTGGAAAGGAAAGAGAATGCAACTATATTTTTTTCATTTCTTGTTTTTGAGAAAACAGATGTTGAAAACAGGTGAAAACAATATTTTTTCGTTTTTGAAAATAGCAGAAAATTGCCACTTTTTGTTTTCATAGTTGGAAACGAATAGAAAACAGAATTAAAAGTAAACAAGTTTTCTCGTTTCGGTTGCCAAATTTATGACATGAAAACAGAAAACGAAAATGGAAGTGAGCAGGCCCTTAGTTAAGGCTGTAGCAAAGGTTTTAGAACCCTGCAACAAATCGTTGCTACAATGAATCCAAAAAAGTAACAACGGGCCGGGTTAGGAACCCTGCTACTAAACCTTCGATATAGGTTCTTTTTCTTGAGGAATTTTACGATACTATATAGTATTGGTGCTATAGGTTTTTACTTTTATGGTACAACTTGAAATTGTACATTCAATGTTATGGTACAGTTTTAGATTATACCTACACTGTTTTGTACATATTCTTTATGGTACAACTTGAACTTGTACCTTTATGTGATGGTACAACTTCAACTTGTAAAGTTGTACCATAACATAAGAGTACAAATTCCTTTATGGTACAACTTGAACTTATACATTTAATGTTATGGTACAACTTCAAGTTGTACATTAAAACACCAATACTTTATAGCATAGTAAAAGAGCTCCTTTTTCTTGTAGTGAACGTGCTCGAATCAGTTATTTTCTACATTGTGACCAACGGTTCTCTAACCAGTACCGTGTCCACTGTTGTAAGTGTCAAGAACCAGTTGATCCCAATAACTCGAGTTGTTGGGAGAGGTTCAATCGTGGATCATATACCACAACACTAACACGCCCCCTCAAACGGAAGCCACTCACAAGGGCTTGAAGTTTGCACAGGTCTGAAGACAAGAATACCATGTGCTTAACAAATGGGGGTCACCGGGAATCGAACACAAGACCTCTCGGTCACAGAAGGCTCTAATACCATGTCAAAAACCAGTTGATCCCAATAACTCGAGTTGTTGGGAGAGGTTCAATCGTGGATCATATACCACAACACTAACAGTAAGATCAGATCTTTTTATTTATGAACCACCTGCTTGTCATTATTTTAGTAATCAAATTTAATGTCGATTTAAAAGGCCACCATGAGCCTCTCACTCTAACAACTCACAAACTTACAGGGGGGTGCTAGATCCCAAACTACATAACGCTTCCAAGATAGCTTTATATATATGTGTGTTAAACATAAGATCAGAAGAAGGATCGCAACACAGAACACACCGATTTACGTGGTATCCTCAACGTATTGTTAAGACTAATCCATGGAGAGGGCCAATATTTCAGAGTCAATTGTATTAACCGAGAATCCTTAGGTCACAAGTAGCCAATGTCACATATATATACTGGCCGAATAAACCTAATTCGATGATCACAATGTAATTAACCAATACTTCTAACACAAGGATTAAAGGCTAATTACAATTAACACCCAACACTTCTAACACCCTCCCTCAAATTGATGATGCTTACGCAACATCAATTTGTATGCCAGAAACCAATGACAAGAAGTCACAACAGCCTTGGTCAAAAGGTCAGCTGTCTGATCTTCAGAAGTGATGTAAGAAAACTCAATCACACCTTCAGCAACCAGTTGACGAATGTAGTGAACATGAACCTCAATATGCTTTGTACGGTCGTGAAGAACAGGATTAAGAGCAATACGAATCGCACTGGTATTATCGGCATATAACCACATCAGAAGAGCACAAGAAAGTCCAAGTTCACCCACCAACCGCCGAAGCCAGACTAGTTCGGAAGTCACTTCTGACATGGAGCGATACTCAGCTTCAGTGGAGGATTTAGAGACCCGCTCCTGCTTCTTATAGCGCCATGAAATAAACGAGAAACCAAGTTTCACACACCACCCGGAGGTCGAACGCCGAGTATCCAGACAACCCGCATAATCAGTATCTGCATAAGCCTCAATCACCGGATCACCAGAGGAAGAAAAGAACATACCAACATCAGTTGTCCCCCGCAAAAATCGAAGAATGCGACAAACAACCACCATGTGAGCAGTACGAGGAGCAGACATAAACTAACTAACCACCTGGACGACATAAGAAATATCAGGCCGGGTATGAGTAATATATATCAAACTCCCTACCAGGCTTCTATAAGACGATCCGTCAGGAAGCAAGTCACCATCAGACTTATGCAACTTCAAATTCTGCTCCATGGGGGTAGCACAGGGTTCGCATTCATCCATATTTGCGGCCTCAAGAAGATCAACTATGTACTTCTGTTGACTAACCAGTAACCCTGCTGATGAGCGATGAATCTCTAAACCCAGAAAGTAGGATACATCACCCAGTTCCTTTAGTTTAAATGCAGCATGAAGTGTTTGAGTAAGTTCTTGAATACCCAGAAGATCATCCCCACTCACCAGCATATCATCCACATATATAAGCAACAATGTGATACGCCGCGCTGTGCGACGAACAAATAAGGAAGGATCGTTGTCACTCTGAGTAAAACCGGCCAGCAGTATAGTATCCTGAAACTTCTCAAACCAAGCACGCGGTGCTTGTTTGAGACCGTACAGTGAACGTCGAAGGAGACACACCTTCGACTTATCTCCTCCTAAATAGCCGGGAGGACACTCCATATAGATAGTCTCCTTAAGGTCGCCTTGAAGGAACGCATTTTTAACATCCAGCTGCTTAAGACACCATCCCTGCATAGCACCCACTGCAAACAAAGTCCTGACTGTCTGCATTTTGGCCACAGGAGCAAATGTCTCCTCATAATCGATACCAAACTTTTGTCGGAACCCTTGCGCCACAACTCGAGCTTTAAAGTGCTCAAGGGAACCATCAGGTTTGAGTTTCACATTATAGACCCACTTTGACCCAATGACTGGGGCATTAACAGGCCGTGGCACAATCTCCCATGTCTGATTTGCCTCAAGAGCATGAACTTCATTAGTCATTGTCGCGTCCCAATCGGGATGCCCGCGAGCCTGTTTTTACGATGTCGGAATAGGAATGTGAGACGTCGAGAAAGATGCAAAGTCAGACATGCGAGCAGGAGGCTTGCCTTTCGTGGTACGATCGGACCAACGGAGCTGGGGTGGGTGCTCGTCCTCCAGTACTTCAAGATGCTGATCAGTAGAAGAGTGGTGACTCCTGTTCGTCGAGGATGAACCTGTCGGGCCGAAAGGGGAAGGAGAATCCCCGGATGAAGCTGATTCTTGCCGAGACGAACCAGTAGCAGAAGGAGAGGACATCTCAAGCTGGAATGATGTCTCCTCGTGATGAGGGGAGGGAGGATCCATGTCTGGTCCAGCTGGTGTGGCCGCAACAGGGAAGGATGGCAACTCAAGAAGAAATCCAGGTCTTGGCGAGGAGCAGAATCCACGTGATCATAATAGGATAAATGTTCCAAAAAGGCCACATCACGGGAAATTCGAATCCGACAATTAGGTACATCATAAAAAACATATCCTTTATGCTTGTCACTGTAGCCGACAAACACACACTTCACAGCCTTAGGAGACAATTTGTTACGGTCACGACTAGGTAGTAAGACATAACAGACACACTCGAACACTCGAAGTTCTTTATAAGCTGGTCGTTTTCCAAATAGAGCTTCATACGGGCTGCGTTGGTCGAGTATGGGCGTGAGCTGCCTATTAATCAAATAAACCACTGTGTGAATCGCCTCAACCTAGAAAGAAGATGGAACACAAGAATGGAATAAAATTGCTCGAGTAAGTTCCAAAACATGTCGATGTTTACGCTCAACAAGACCGTTTTGCTGTGACACACTCGGGCAGGACTGTTGAGGTAAAATACCACATTCTTTAAACACTTCTTGGAGAGGACCAGAAACAAACTCCCCCCCCCCCCCCCCAGGATGAGATCAGATTACCTTGACCACCTTACCGAACTGTGTTTTAATCATTTGCAAAAATTCATTTGCCACTTTCAGTAGATCAGATTTGTGACGAAGAAAGTAGACCCAAGCAAATCGTGTAGCATGATCCACCAAAAGAGCAAAATACCGGAACCCAACACGTGATGTCACAGGTGACGGTCCCCACAAATCAGTATGCACCAAATCAAACGGCTCATAATAAACGGTGGTACTAGAAGTAAATGACTGGTGAGAAAGCTTCGCCTTAATGCAATGAACACAGTCACGAGAATCACAAACTGAACTGCCAGATAACAAATTTTGTTTAAACATATCCAATAATCTAGCCGAATGAGGATGGCCTAACCGCCGATGCCATAAATCCCAGTTCGAGAGTTTAACAGAATAACCAAAATTATCAAAATCACTATGCCCAGTTGTGACACTACCACCGCCAACGCCGCGCGAACTCCTCTGGCTCGCTCCTCCATCTCCCTTTG